AATCTCCCTGGTGCCCTAGCAGAGTTAATTTCCACCCTGGCCCAAATTTCTTGTATAATCAGCGCTTCAGTATATTCTGAGATATATGTCTCCTCTATCTAGTAAGTTATTTATTCTACTCATTGCAGATTTACATTTGTTTATTTAAAAGCAAGGATCATTGTATTCAGTTCACATATATTCATGTGTAAATGCCCATTGCAATTCCTGTTGGGGTAAGTAATATTATGCAAAGCACACTCACAAAAAAGAATAAAAAATAGTAATGAGATTTAAGGGCATGATGAAAGAAAAATAAATACATGAATGTAGTTCATGTAATGCCATTTACTATACTTCTTTCAACATTGCAAAACATCCTTTCTCCCACTACACCCATATACCAGTTCATACTTTGCCTTTTGTTCTTCACATTTCTTCTCTTTTTGAGAATATCAATAACTCCATCCAACTGTGACTTTCTTCCCCTATCTTTTAACTTACTCAATGTTCCTTCATGTATTTGTTTTCCAATTCTATCTCTGTATGAATAAATCACATCCATGTACTTCTTTCATACTGGTAACTAAGTAACCCATTCCTGCTTCTTACACTTATATTTCTTCTGATGCATTTAACTCTTACTTTCATAAAACAGTGTGGAAAGAAGTATGCTGTTACACACAGCTGTTTTCAGTTATTTTGACAAATATTCATTTCTCAGAATAGACTGCATACTACCTCTTACCTTTCTACCAGCATTTTTTTTTAATTTGTCCATTAACTTTTCAAACACTGGTAAATATTCCACCAAGGTATACAAATTCATCTGCTTGTTTTAGTTTCTAACCGTTTTAATAAGACTTGCAATCATTCATTCTATTTTCTCTATTTTCTTAGTTTCTGATGTATTGATTTTCAGATCAATACACTTCATTGATTCATATAATCTATCTATTTCAATTTATTTTAATCTCAGCCAACAGAATGGCATGTTCTACATACAACAATTCAGGAACATTCATGTCCCCACCAATATATCTCTAACAACTCCATAATAATGTTTATACAAACATTGATCCATATGCAAATACATTCAGCAATCAAGATGACACATCTTGTCTTATTCCATACTGGGTGTGAAACTATTTGTTATACAATGACTACACCTCCACCCCTATGTGGATTGTATATTGTAGTAGTGAAGGGGCTTGAGAAATCCAATGATACTATGAGCTTCACTGTTCTGATTATTTATTCCCAGAAGATTTACCCATTATGGGCAGATCATTAAGTATGATCTACTGGAGAAGAAAATTGCAACTCACACTAGTATTCTTCCAAGAAAATCAGAATGACATTCATGAACAAAAGACCTCGGTGTTATACTGGAAAATGACCACCACCACCCTCAACAAAATACGAGGGAAATGCAGAGGTGAAATATGAATATTACCAGTGCTTATGATATGCCTGGATTAAAGTTGAAAAGTTGTTCAGCTGCAGAAAATTACAGAAGAAATATAGTAACATTTTTTTAAGTGTCAAAATCAATGCTTGGATGTATCCCAAAACTTGGTAGAATAATTTCAATTCAAGTCTAACACAAGCCAATCAATATTATAGTTTTCCAAGACTGTGTTTGCAGATGGAGAGCAGGCTAAATTTGAACCATTCTATGCCAGCTTGCAACATCTTACAATTCACACACAAAAAAAGCCATTTTCCTTAGAGAAGACTAGAATACTAAAATTTGAAGTAAAATATATTCTAGAATGTGGAAATTTAGCATTGGTTCATGAGATAAAACATGGAACAGAGTAATAGAGTTCTGAGAAGAAAAATGCAATGCTTACTCTTTCAAAAACCTGTAAGATAAACCCACATGCAGATATCACAAAATGGATGACACAGATTGACTATATACTCTGTGAGCAAATATGTATAAGTTCTACTCAGTCAGGAAAAACTACTACAGCTCAAATCACTAATCCATTGTAAAATTAGAAATTAAGGAAAACAAAGTCATCACATCAAGAGATACATTGTCAGCAATATTTCATACAGTGAAGGTAAAGAACAGATATTATGAATAAGGTTTTATAAATAATGTTTGAAATGAAATTTGTGACATTTTAAAAACAAAAATAACCCAAAATACAAAAAGCAGAAGACCAAATGGGGATCTGCTAATATACTGAAAATTGTTGAAGAAAGATAGAAAGCAAATAAGCCATCTTTGTGCAAATAAAAAGAAAAACAGAGCAAAAAGCAATAGGAGAAAGAAGCTATAAAGAAGAGAGAACATGAACAAACAGAAGAACTGAACAGAAATGATCTCGAAATTGACTATATGGGTTTATGACTGAACTAGACTAGACATTCTGGAAAGTGAATGTAAATGGACCCTAAAAAATTGCTAATAACAAACCTGCAAGAGCTGATGAAATAACTGCAGAACTTTAATATCTTATAAGATAATAAAGTGTTAAGTTAAAATGATAACTGAGATATGTAAGCAAGTATGGGACTGATAATTTTCCTTTATATTCCAAAACCAAGAAAGACCAGTGGTAAAGTGTGCTCAAACTATTGAGCAACTGAACTTTTTTCAAATAGCATTCTATGTTCTATTATCTCATCAAACAAGACTTGCTCTTTTATCTTTCTGCAATCATTCTAATTTCACCTCTGCCTCTTCTTACATGTCATTTTCTTCCCAAAAACACACTCTCTAACTTATCACGTTTTAAAATAATAGATATATTTAGACACTATTATCTCTCTTTAAATTATTTTCAATATTTTTACAAACCACTTTTTAAAATTATTATTATAATTATTATTATTATGGTTAGTCACACAATCAGCCAGATGTTTAGACTGGATTTGGCATTTTTATCCACATATTGAGTCCTTCCCAAGGACCTGGGATAGGCAGATGTTGTTGTCTGATGGTGTTAAAGTACCGTAGCAGGATATAATCTGTTCCAAGTAAAGCTGCCTTTTGCAATTGACTGATAATGATTTTGTCAATGCCAATGGTGTTCAAGTGGTGGTCCAGATATTTTGGGACTCCACTTGAACATTAATATTGTTGTTGTTGCTGTTGTTATTATTATTATTGCCGCCCACTCCCATAGACTCTGGGTTGCTCTACACTTTAAAAGGACTTCATTAGTTACCCTTTAATCAACATACTGCAATTCTCCTTAGAGATGGACTCAACACACTGGCCAGTGTCTGCAAGGCAGCCAAATCTTCAATGGTTATTAAACATTAATAGAGTCAGTGTTATTTGAATTTTGACGGTCAAGCTCTTCCTTGGGGCAGTTACTGCAACTGGAAGCACATTTCCTTTGTTCCATCAGATAGTAGTGCTTGGCAGAAAGGAGCTTGATCTCCCCTCCCCCTCCCAGAAAATTAATAATTGCACAAGTCTCCCTTAACTTATAGTTGCCAGCTTCAAGTCTTAAAACTCTATGGAGACTGTTTAATTTTTCTGGTTATATTTGGGAAACGGCATTCTCCAGAGTCCCAAGTTAATAAGGCTTGTTTGTTACATTGTAATGATTTGGCATGAAGTTCAATAAGTAATTAAGAAAAGGAAAAGGTTTGAACTGTTTTATCATTAATAGTTTGTGTTGAGTGTTTTATTTATTAGCCTTTCTATTACATATGTGTGTTGACATGTGTCAGTATAAATTGAATCAATATGACTAGTTTTAGCAGTGATTATATCTAATGATTATAACCAATAATTGTACTGTAGATCAATATGCTAGTATATTAAATTCTTAGTTTGATATGCAACTTGAATTACAGCAAGCAAGCTTTGT